GCAGCAGCAGCAGCAGCAGCGGTGGGCGCCAGGCGGGGCCCCAGATCTCCGTGTACAGCGGGATCCCCGACCGCCAGACGGTCCAGGTGAGGGGAAGGCGGCCGGGCCTGCGGGGGGGCGGGAGACCCTAGAAATGCCAGGTCATTCATTCTGAGGGAAGCGGGGGGCGTTTCTTGGCCTCTGGTGCCCCCCCAAGCAAGCTGGATTCATGTTTGGTGCGCTAGAGGGGGCCGAGAGGGAAGACAGGGTTGGCACGGCCGGGCAGAGGCTTCGTCAGGAGGGGGAAGAGCTGTTCCGCGGGGGAAGAGGCTGCCCCTGGTGGACTCTCATCCGCTGGAGGGATTTGAATGAAGGCTGGAGTGGTACAGTCCCACCCTGAGGGGTGGGTTTGGGCTACAAGATCTCCAGGCTCCCTTCCAGGGTCCTGCGGCAAAGTCCAGGAGGAGCTGAGCTGAGCTGGAATCGCTTGGTAAATATCGCCCCCTGGTGGCCCCGGGAAGCACTGGTGTTGTGCCATCGCAGCCTGGCACAGGTGGCACATCCAGGGCAAGTGAGCCATGCCAAAGTCATTAAATAACATTAATCAATTAAGAAGCTGCCCAAATGAGATGATGATTTGGTTGATGCCTCGTTTCAGTTCTCTCTTGACCTTATTACCTTCCTGCCAACCTTGAGACGAGTCTGTTGCTGTGCTCTGCATGAGTTCTCTTTCTGAACATTCCTCCCTATTAGGGTTAGGGTTAGCCTGACATGGAGTTCTTGGCATCCACATTCTGCTGTAACATTGCTGGTTTAATTTTGGCTTGGTGTTTTCTGCGAATAACGGGGTACGGAAACAACGATGAACGGTTGTAGTGTGCAAATCATGGTTTATGCCATGGCATTCTGGGTCTCTCAGTTCACTCTGGCTGATTTTCAAATCATGGTTACAATAAACCAGGTCTTGGCCTGGCCCATTAACCGGTTTGCGCATTAGGCTAAGTTCTGTTTGGTTTCGGCTTAGCGTGGGTTCGTCATTGTGACTGGTCCTGCAAACCATGATTAAACAAAGTGGCTTAGGATGATGTGTAGATTCACCCGATTTGGAAGGCCCGATAACTTTGTTGCACCTCTTGGCGGTCCCGGTCCCAGTGGTCTAATGGCCACCCAACGTTTCCGATTACCTACCTGAAGACTCCTTTACTGTCTCTCTGTATGAGTTGCTGATCTTAGACACGCCCACAGATTGAATGCGGATCTCTCCGTTTTGGAAAAAGGTGGTGGAATGAGGCCCATCAAGATTGTCAAAATCAAGGATACGTTCTGGTCCAAAGTCCAGCGCGTCTTCTGTGTCGGAGGAGAGAAGAGTCTCGCCATAGCTGTGGGTCCTCTGCAGGAGAACTGCCCATGTGGAAGGGGAGGCAGGATGGCTTCCGATGCCAGGCTCCCTGCCACCCTGCTTTTAATTAAACATAAGTAACTGAGAAATTGTTCTGGGACCGTCAAATACCATCTTCGTGGGTAGAAAAAGAGAGTTTTTCCGCGCGCCTGCTTTTCTTAAAAAAGGAAAAGCGTTCCTGGCTGACCCTGGTGGCCATTTTGTGAGAGTGCTTGAGAGAGTCGGAAACCCTGGCAAGCATTGGGATCTTAGTTTGTTCGGGGTCAGATCCAATTCCTGCGTTTGTTGCGGAAAGGTACGCCCGAAAAATCCGGTGCTCCCTTGGCCCTTCCTCATGGAAAGCTCATTCTGGGACAACCGGATTTTAAAAATAGCCAGCAAATCTGAGTTTCAAGGAACCTGGGCCTCTCCTAATGTCATTATTCTGATTTGCCTTTGAGCGCTGCCGGGCAGCGGATTAGCTCAAGATCAGCTCACTTGGTTCGGACGCTCTGTCGCTTCTGAAGTTGCAGATCTGTTAGAAGAACCGGAGAACTCCGTTTATGCTGTTTTTAGAAAAAGGGGTAAGAAATTGAATGAAACAAATGCGGATTCACGATACGACGGTTTCACACTTTTAGACGCCGACGGAAACGTTGAAGAAGGATGCGCTGCGTTGTAGGGCGGCCCAAATCCCCCCGGCCCCCAAAAGGTGTGAAAGTTTATTCCTCAGCCAACGTCGGAGAATCCGTTTTCCCCAACCTGTTGGACTACGACTGCCGTTATCCTCCAGCCGGTGTGGCTGAGGAACATGGGAGCGATGGGGCGTGCAGCCACGAGGGGGAAAACGGGTTGCAAGGAAGCACCGGGTGAAATTTGCAACCAGGGAGAAGCTCAGCCCCCTGCTCTTGTTCCGAGGGGCCTTTAGCGCCTCCCCCCGCCCCCCCGCCCACCCCCGAGGGGTAATCCCGCCGGGCGGGTTTTGGCCAGCGAACACCCCTCAACTACCCCTCCC